GATCGGGGCCTCTTGGCAGGACAGAGCCAGGCCTCTGCTGCAGAGGGGGGGACTGTTTATCAGCAGTAATTTTGAATAATGATGCTCATGCCATTTAATGATTGACTTGCACTAAGTGCAAGTTGCCCCTGTGTGCAGGGGAAGCTCAAAGACTAAGCACCACGTGAGTCCCCAGTGGAACGGGAGGCAGATTCAGTCCTTGTGCTCTGGTATCGGAAAGAGCTGTCTTGGGGCAACAACTTGTCCCTGTCCTGAGGACCTCAGCCTGCTGTATTCAGAGAAGTCAAGCATGTCACACCTTCCTACAGTGCACACATGGAAGCCACTAGTGCAGAGATGAATATTTCTTTGTAAAAAGACATAAATTACACAGTCAGCTCTGACAACGCCCTCTTTTACGCCTCTCCCCATTTTCGAACGTGCTGTGGATCAGTGAGTTGTACTCAGTGACTATATCTCTTATTTCCTCTATAGGGGTTCTGGGCCCCATATATATTTCAGCAGGTGTTTGTGTAGTGGCTAGCTGGGAGCAGGACTGAAGTCAGCTTCTCAGCGAGCTGCTCTGCAATCATTGCAGCAGGACTTAGCACAGGTAGGGTACGTCCCCTTGCACAAGGCACCGCCATGCTGAGAGACAGCGGCTCTGCTCCATGCGAGCTAGCTCCCAAACTCGAACAAGTCCGGCCACCATAGTATGGCACTGTGAACAGACTGGTAAGCTTTGCCTTTGAGTGGAACATGTTTGCTGGTGGCTGCACAGCTTCTGGACCAGGAACCAGCATGCACGAGGCAGATGCAATGGGCTTGGCACAGCACTGTCCTGTACAATGCATATGGGAAACGGTGGTTGCCTTCAACCTTCCCTTCCCTCAAATTCAGCCCTTTGAAGGAATGCTCCTCCCTTTACAGAGCTGAATCCTTGCTGGCATTCGGGTCATGCACAGCTACTACTTGGGAACAGACTCGTTCCAGCGGGTGACTGTCAAGGCCTATGAAGTAGAAAGCTCGGGAGACTAGAACATGGTGCTGCCTCCACCCTGTACTGACCTTCTGCACCAGTGGGAAGTTTTACCCACTAGCACTAAAATCAGTATAGGCTTTTGTCAAGATAGTAGTAAGGGTTTGAGAAAGCAGTGTCAGGCCTGTATATTAAAACTGTCCAGTTGCATCTGGGCTTCATTGGAAGCCTGATGGGTTCTCTCCAGTGGGTATAAAAATAAGGTACAGGTGATCGGCTAAACAGTATGGAATTAGAGCATTAAAGGTGTGGGGTGAAATTTTCAAAAAGGTCTCAGACTTAGAGTTCAAAGTCAAAAGATGCTTTTGCCAGTTCATTCCTTTGACATGTAGGGGTTAAATTCTCATTGCAAGTTAGTTTTGAAAATGGGACTTAGGCATTTCTTGAGACCCCTTTTCCTCGTTCCAAACTTTGGTACCAAGCTTCCCGTGGAGGAGAGTGTGTTGTGTCCGACACGCAACTTCCATGCATGAAGAGAGGAATAATGCTACACAGCAGAGGTATCAAACCCCCTCCTGCCGAGTTCAGTCTGTTCCCTGCCTCTCTTCATATCCTGAGTTGGTCTAATACAAATTCAACTGCAACAAGGCAAGATGAAGACTGCTCTCATTCTTGGTTTTATTTGCAGGGGCATACAGGTCACAAAGGGGAGCCTGGAGAAATGGGGAAAGATGGTGAGAAGGTAAACCTCCAATATTTGTGTGTGTGTGTGTGTGTGTGTGTATATTCTTTTCCTCTTGAAAAGCATAGACTAAGGAATTTCTCTGAAGATGGAAGGACAAACTGGGCATTGGTTGGACAGAAAGGGGAAGCTTAGTATGGGATTGGGGGTGAAATAATAGGATACTTGCAATAGCAGGGGACTGGATTCGATGTCCTTGGGGACTGCTCCAGTCCTAAGATCCTCGGTTTGCACTTGAGGTGTGGATTAAAGAGCAGGCATCACTGGCCTCCGTTACTCTGCTTTTTATGTCTACGAGACTATTCCAGTGCAAGAAGATTACTCATTCCTGTGATCAGAGATGTTCACAACTAAAACGGCTGCTGCAACTTTGCACGTGTTGTTGACAACTCATTAATAAAACCTGCACTGAGCACAAAAGTTGGGCAGTTAGTCATGTCCGTGGCCTGGCCGACCACTTCTGTGACATGGAAGAAATTGCATGCAGCAAAGCTCGAGGCCACACAACGCGTGGGGGTTGGGGAGCGATTTGCAAGGATGCTTAAGGTGGAGAAGATGCCGGGGGGGATTAATCCAAGGATGCAGGGCAGCAGTTGTTACTGGAACATCTCTAATTCCCTTCTGTTTCCTGTCCTTAGGGATCTCCTGGCCCTCCAGGTCCTCCAGGTATTCCAGGCACCGTTGGCCTGCAGGTAACATCTACCTTTCCAGCCCAATCAGTAGCGTTGCACCTGCGATAGTCACCCCGGCTTTTGGTGTGAAACTGGGATGTCTGTGTTGGGGTTTTTTTTGGTTTGATTTGGAAGGTTGGTTTTTAAAGGGGGGGTTGCCATTGAACACTGGAGCACCACGTTGTGGTGGCAGCACGCTATTGGCCCTTCAGGGAGGCTGCACACAAGCGTGGAACCAGGTTGGGCTAATAGCATGC